CAAACATAAAAATAAATTTAAAAAAAACTTGGTTTTGACTATTACAACTAATCAAATTAGGCTTTAAAAAGCATCATGAAAAATATAATTTGCCTAAAGATCCAGGTACAATGAAAAATATTTATTTTTTATAAACAGGTATGTCAGTACAGTAAGACATTCACGCAATTGATCACTTGTTCTGTTTTTTTAGCTTAGGTTTCCCATGAACAAATATTTCCCCCTTTTCCTGCCTTAGTGATGTAATAGCAATATTGAAAAACATGGCACGCCATCAGTAAAATATATCAAGAAGAAAAGTATTAAACAGCATTAATTTTCATAAAGTTGGATGGACACATATCACAGTTAACCAGTTAACGGTTGGACTTCATGATCTTAAAGGTCTTTTCCAAACTAAATGGTACTATGATTCTACAGTTTTCTGAAAAAGAAAAGCCCTTCCCTCTCATTCACCCTGGGATAAGCTTACAGAGGATTCAGAAAGGTAAACACAATTCTAACTGCAAAGGAGACAGAGGGAAAAATATACAGAGCTGGATTTAGAAGTATATATACCTTCCCACTATTACCTTTGATTATCACTAGAAACCATGCTCTGCATCCATGTACAGAGATTGAGTTAGCTCACTGCTACTGCTTATCTCCAAACAGGTAAAACCAGGCAATGAACAGAAAAAGTTCACAGAACAGAATACTGCATATATGAAATTTTGTTAAAATTGGATGTCAATCTCATAAATTACATTTTTTCTAAAGTGTTCAACATCATTGCTTCTTTCTTACTTTTTAATTAAACATACTTTTCTCCGCTATCTTCTACAGGGGCTGGGAGAAGGGGAAGGGAAGAAGTTGTTCCACACATTTATTTGCAAGATTCACTGTAGCACTGCAGTCTTAATTCACAAAATCCTACTTTAATTCCAGTATACCTCAGGTGTAAAAAGGCCTCCATATTTGATTATACTTCTGAGAGACTTATAAATATACTTGTGTATTATTCTAAATTACAGATTAGTTTTAAGCAACTGCTATATGACAAAATAAATGTATGGATACAAAGACGGACTCCCATACTCCACTCAACAGTGTTGGTAATCCTGATGTAAATGGTCCTAGTCCAATTGAAGGGCCCTTCCTGGAGAGATTTTGGGGCACAAAAAAACAGGTCTGAACCTCTTCACTACTCTTGCTAGGGGTAAAGATGTTAAGATGGGCAGCAGCAAATTGGCTTATGAGTTCATTACTTCTCCGTTTATTCAAATTTGTCTCATTTTTCATCAGTGCTTTTGTATAGTGATACTCCAATGAGTCAAGACTGTTATCTAAGTTATTTTAAAATTTATATTAATTGAATAAAATCATCAACAATCTGCATCTAAGACTGCTTATTGCAATCATCCCACCCCTGCACATCACCTTTCCTCAGGGCATCGCTCCTCATTCTTCCCCCCTCATTGTGCTGTTGCACTATTTAGGAGCATAAACTCTCTAATTAATACCATATCTTCTCCAATACAAAGAGTAATATTAGAGCAATTACATGAATCATTAATAATCATAGAAATGCTACTCTAGAAAGCAGTATGCAAAGTCTGATACAATACCTGCTGCTAGAAGAGCCACTTGCTAACAGTGTTTACTGAAGTCAGTATTTTCCCCGTTGGTACTACATTAGGAGTCCCTTCCTTCCAGCTTCCATCTATCAAATACCTCAATACATCTGTACAAAAGCTGATCTTTCAGACTGGGATTTTTCCCAGTCAAGTGGCAATCTCAGCACACGTGACTATAAAACACTACTGAGAAATTACTCAACCATAATAGTTTAAAAAAAAACAACAACAAACAAAACTGAAGAAAGAGATATTAATGTCTTATATTACTTGAAAACAGTATGATTAAGCCTTTGCATTCTGAAACAATGAAACTGATTCTTTTTCTCTAGGAAGGAAGTAATAATTGTTGGTAGGTCCTCATGGGCTGTAAATGCAGCTAATTGTGCTTATATTTAAAAATTATATTTTTAAAAAGTACTATATTTTTACTATAAAAACCTTATTTACAGGACGTCTAGTTTTCAAATAATTATTCTATGCAAATCTCTTCATCAGGTAGGTGCTTTTGACAGCATATCAACTCTTTATGTTCACTTGTATTAACAAATTAAATCACATTTTCTAATAATTTCAATTAAAAGTATGTTTATAATGCATATAAATAGTCTCAGAGCTGTTTTTTATCCTTTCAAAAATTTTTCCACACCCCTCTGAAGTACTAACACGAAAAGATATACACTTTAGCAATATGCTCTGCACACATATATTGTTTGGCAGCACAATCATCTCTCCACAACTACCACCTGATATTCTCTACAAATATTCCACATAGTGGATGTTTCTACTCTTCCCGTTGTGTACAGCACCATGGTATCATCATATTCCTTGTAACCACAGTCTACAACCTTTTTTATTTGTTGACAGATAATTGCATTTGGTTGTATTAAAGTGTACATTGCTTAGGTTGAATTGTCAGTTTTTAGAAATTACATACAATTTGTATCTTGACAGCATGACTTAGTTTTCAGTGAGACTAATTTTCCACCAGATACCATCTGCTTCATAAACACCATTTTTGATTATGGTACATGTCAAATATACCATGTTAGGAAAACTTAAGATAGGCTACGTAGGCACGTGTCCTGGTAAGAACGCAAAGACCTAACACCCTTCACATAACAGAACTTCACCTACTAAATGGAAATGAAATGCTTAAAGATACAAGAACACTTCGATTAAATATAACCAGAGGTTTTTCTGGGAAAATCAGAAAATTCTTTTTTCAGGCAAGCAGAGGTTAAAATTCCAGGACTCTCCATACCACAAGTTTAAAGCTGAAAGTAAGGAGACCCTGAGAGGAGAGAAACAGATCCTTTAACAAGAGGAGCTCAAGGACTGATGCACTGCCACGGCTGTGCAACTCCAACCAAAAGGCAAAGAAAAGTCTCTCATTTTCCCTAATGGAGTGTCTTTACAAAAATTGATACACAGTAGTTCTCCTATCACAAGAAAGTGTGCCTTTGAAATTAGATGAGAGAAGTGTGGATTTTAAACATCATTTTAAGCATAAGAAATTTTAATGCTTTCATATAATTTCTGGGATACTGATACGTAACTTCTGCTATAACTGGATGGTCTTTCCCTGAAGTGTGGTCCCGAAGAATGCACAGCATGGCACTACAACTCTTCTAAGCCTATCTTGGAGGCACAATTTTTCCAATCTACAACTGGAGTACATTTCAGCATGGAATCTTAGCTAAAAATAACATCAGCTATTTATATTTAATGTTTGGATGAAAAAATGTCTATTTAAGGTACAATCTGTTGTCTCTAAGGTGTCAACAGTAAGTAATATTATTTGAAGTAGAATGTTTTATTTAATATTTAATAGCATATATAATGAAACTAGCGGAAAAATATTGAAATTTCAGAAAAGTATCAAATGCCCATCATCATTCAACTGTTACTTCAGATTAGTGATAGATGTTATCATGTCTACACCTAAGAATACATTACATGACTTAACTTTACCGAAGAATTAAACAATATTCAGATATGTCAACATATTGCATATTATAGACAGTGAACCGAAATTTCAACTTGTGTCAATATGACCCAAAAAAACTCCTGTGAAGTAATCATTTACATCAACATAGAGAGGATGCTTGATGAAAATCAAATCCAGAATGATCCAGTCAGTTCTCATGCAGAGGTTAGTGTAGTAATAACTTAGTTCAGAGTCAGAAATTGCATTTTTTATTCTACCAGCCAGGTTTCAGGTTCATCACAAATGAAATCCTGCTACCAATTTGCTTATCCAAATAAGGACTTTTTTTCCTGAAGAGATGAGTCAGAGGTCAGAGAAGTTGAAACTTAGACTATTTTCTGATCATTTTTAACATACAAAGACAGCAAAACAATGGTCAAGATAAAATATAAACCCAAAGGTAAATCCAATTCATATTAACTTAATAAAAAATAAATTGTTACATGTTCGACTACCTAGTATAGCATCCAACCAAAGAGAAAACTAGTGTTACAGTGGGCCTTTTACAAAATAATATTTACCTAAGTAATACCTCTTAATAAACAATCACCAGCAAAGGAAAATACTACATAAGACCCGCAATACCCCTTTTTTGATGGGTTAAATATAATTCCATCAAGACCTAAAAGTTGTACTGGATCTATGCACAGAAGTTACGGCCACAGGAAGAAATTCAAATGATCAAGTAGAAATCTGATGGCTTGCTTGTAGTGTTCATGTGCCAACAGTGGTCTTTTAAGTATCTTTTTTCCCCAAGATACATTTATTATTTAGGATCCATAAACACTAAATAACCAGGTGATCACTCAGAAGTAAATATTTACTTATTTTAAAAAAAGGTATGAGCCCATTTACAAATTCTTTGATAGAACATTACATACTGATATCAATTTATCTAAGAACTAGCTCTTGTTTCACAGGCATTCATGCAACAAGTCAATTGAGATACAAAGACTTATATATCATGAATTCTTAGGTTAGTTTAAACTTACTGTAGACTAAACTAGCCACCTGACTTAGGTTTGTGCAATCCACCCCCATAAAAATGTGTCTGTTTCAATAAGCTACTGAATTTGAACTGTTAATGTCAGGGTTTTGAATTTAATCTAAAGGAAATACTGTAAATACATCAAACTTGTAATTTTTATAAACTTTGGGTTTGACGCTCTTTTTAAAAAGCTGTCTTCTTTGTATAATTAGTAACACCCACTTACCTACCTCTATTTTACCTTTTGATGCTCTACACTATATCCTAATTAAAAAGAAGCACAAAGGTAAGAAAGAAATGTTTTCTAACAGATTTTATTTTTTCAGTTTGATACTATCAGTCCAGTTAGCCTTCTGGAAAATAAAATTTAAGGAAATTATACAATTATATAATCATATATTTTGTTTTAGAGTTTAATAGCAGCTCTTAGCTTAGCCGACCTTCCTCTTGGGTTTGTTTGAATATCCTTGGACCGGGGTGTAAGAATTTTTTTCTGTATAAAAATCCACTTTGAGTTGGATTTTCCACAGGGAAGTTCTTCTGTATCTTCTTCTTTGGAGCGATTTTTCAGAGCCTGCCTTATCTTTTGTCTTGAGCCAAGATTGTACTTTTCTGTCATGTCTATTCCATGAAGGAAACGTTTGATAATACGATCTTCTAGTGAATGAAAGGAGAGAGCTACAAGGCGACCTCCAGGTTTTAGAAACTTCTCAGCTGTCTTCAGCCCTATAAAGAGTTCATGAAGCTCATCATTTACAAATATTCGCAGGCCTTGAAAAGTTTTGGTAGCAACATGTGTAGGTCGCTGAAGCAAGTCTTTTCGTGCATACAGTGCAGATGCTGGAAAAGCACCTGTCATAAATTTTAAAAGATATATGTTAATACCTTTTTATTTCTACATTGCTATCCTGACACTAATCCACTCATGCATGATGACTCTAAAGGAAAGCATACTTACAGCTGAACCCTGGTGATCTTCCTTCTTTATAATATATCCCTATTTTCCGCTTTGCATTCACATTTCTGGAAGTAAACCCTACTAAACTGAGCTGGCTAGCAGTTGAGTATTGGGTTTTTTCCTAGAATCTTTCACAGAAATTCCTTCACAAAATGCTTCACAAGTTTAAAATACAAAATGATGGCTGAAACCAAAATAGGGAAAAAATGAAGGTGGGCTAGATAAGTCCCACTTTACAGCTCAGTGTAGTCAATGTCAGTTCAGTATTTGTGGTGGTTGGTTTTATGCTTTTATGGGAAAAAAAAATTAATATTCAATGGACACAATTTGAACTTTTGCCTTCTAAATAATTATGCATTTCTTCACAGGCAGAGATATGATGAAGACAATGTCTACCTGGGAATAAGTATCTTTCAATCAATTACTTAAAGCTTAAAAGAAGCATCCTTGTTTGGGGATAAAAATTGTTGACCACTACACATGTGTTTTTCTTCAAATTTTCACAAAAATACCTTGAGAAATTTAGAAAATGCAGCTGATACTGTTGCTTTTTCACATGCCTGTACAGCAGAACATGTCACGGTATGAGTTTGTTGGACAAAAAATCACCAGATTAAATAATTTTTACTAGATGCACAAAACTCCCTCTTCCTTTCTCCAAAATTCTTATGAGTTATACCAGTCTGTAGCGACTGAAATTTTGATGGAAACTTTAATATATCATTATTTAATGTATTTTTGGCTTGAATATTCATTATCTGAGTACAGAGCAAAAAGCTAGAGAAGCCAGATTTGATGGATCAAAGGGACTAAAGTGCAAGAGTCTTACAAGATCTGTGAAACCTGAGTAAACTTATAATCTATTATGTAATTATGTAATCTATTAAAGGAGTCTGGTAAAGACAAATTGAATGAATAATGCTAGTGCATAACTGGAAAGAATTATTCTTCCAAATAAGAGGGCCCATTAGAGATAAGGCAATACAGCTGGTATATATGTATTAAAATGTCTTAATTCCATGTCAGTGCTAAACTACAATATAATAAAGCAATGGGTTTGAAGTAAATGCAGTTCATAATCAACTAACTGATATTGTACATAGTGGAGTAAAAAAAGGGAACATGGTACCTCTGAAACAACTTGACTAAATTCACAATTACATAGGTGATTGCAAAAAATTTAATCCAGTATATTGGCACAAAATAATTTATTAGTGGAATTCTTGAGAGTTTTAAAGGTAAGATTTTACGCATGTCAGAAAACTTGTGTGTTTGGCATTGCAAACACACAAGTGATCATCAGTGTTCGGCAAAGAGAGATGCCAATAACGGGATTTAAAAATTCCATCATTATTAACAAAGTTATTATCATGTGTGCGATGTATCTAAGATGCATTTCTGCTTACTCAGTTGTCCAAACTACATTCCCCATCTCCTCTGACTCTAATGGCTACAGTTCTTGGATTAACTGAAGAGACCCGTCATAGCTGTGGCTGTTTCCTATTCCTATAGTCTGAATCCTTTAAGACAGAAAGCAGCAACAGGATCAACTTCTCCCAACACAAACTACTGCACAGGAATTTCTGGCTCTAAACTGTTTCACAAAACAGAGTAAATAGATTTAACGTGTGGGAACCAGGCGCCTCCATCACTTACAAAACTCTAGAAAAAGTTACACTAACTAGTTAATATCATTTCTGTCTTTGGGAACACCATGTTCTATACTTACTATAAATCATAAAAAAAAAACGTACCATGACTGGAGGAGTCACAAAGCCTGTTTTGATCAACGTGCTGAACTAAATGGAGAACTCGAAATTGCAGAAGGTAAGATGTCCTAAAAAACTAACTGACATCAAGCTTACACTACCTGGCACAGTATCTGTTTCCATATTTCTTTACATACCTAAAAATAGATTCTTTAAAAATGGAATCCTTAAACAGCCATTGACTGCCATCTGTGTGTGATGAAAACTGCCTCTTAATGCATAACATAAAAGAATGCTGTGCTGAGCAAAATAAACAATTTTCTTTAAATGGTCAACTAACAGCTACAAACACTCCTAGTATGCTCAGAACACTTGAATAGTTATTAAATGAAACAGTAGGGTTTAAAATCAACATGTAACGTATCCAAAACCACCATAGGATAGGCATGTTCCCACAGCATGCAAAAAGTGATGAAATATACATAGCTTTGTATTTTCCCTAAGACTTGTCTTAGGTTTCAGTCATAATAGCATTTTTCTTCAATGGAATTTGAAGTTGAAACATCACATACCTGGGTATCTTTTGAATTCAATTACAGAAGCCATCGTCCCTTGAATAAGAAAATACTAGTCTTATAAAAGATCTCATACAACAGATCTCTCTTTCTAAGCCTAATCTTAAACCCATTGAAAACATACCTCACTCTTTTCATCTCTCCTTCCAAAACCAAGCCCACTGCTGCCATGTTCACTCTACAAAAACAGTTGTAACTGGAATGAAAAAGCACTGTTCCCTTACGAAATATTAGCTATTAACAAGCTAGTGGGTTAGAAAATAGGGTGTATTTTTTTGTGTCTACCTGTATGGTTCCTGCCCATTGCTGAACAATTTACAGCTGTATGGTTCCTGCCCATTGCTGAGCAATTTACAGCTGTCACTTGAAGAGCATCAGTTTTATACTTTCAATTTTGGGCTGTTACTTCCCAGAGCTGGTGTTCACTTCTCAAAGCAGATCCAGAATTTTTAACTATCATATTTTAGCAGTCTAAGTATTTTCTAAAAATACTGCTGGTTTTCTGGGGATGATCCATTTCTGATATTCTAAGAGTATTTCAGTTTCCAAAAGTATCACAGACAAAAATGAAGCCAAGCCACAAGAGTACAGCATGTAATTTAGGTACAAAACTGACTGTGCTTCTTGATTGGGATCTAACCATAAAACCAGAAGCCTAAAATGAGATCCTTTGTTTAAATTTCCACAGCCAATCTCATTGGAATTTTAGTAAAACACCGGAAGTTTTATCTCCTGTGTCACCAAAATATCTTTTACTTATCTGAAAAAACAAGGATGATATAAAGATCTATTTCAAAACTGGTTTTGTAAAAGTCTAAATAGACATGACATACTGATTTTTAGTAGTCTGATCATGAACACTGCTATTTTGCAATGGCACTACTGAATAGATAAACAAAAGAAATGAGATACCCAGGCTACCAGGATGACTAGGACACTAACAGGTCTTTGGAAGATTCTTCCGTTTGTCCTGCCATTGTTGTAGAGTGCAGTGTCTTCTTGCAATAATCTTCTATGATGATTAACTGTGACATTAATTTATTACTGTGAATTAATTTATCACACATGGAAGAAAAAGAAATTAAAGACCAGATATATTCTGCAAGTATAATACAACCTTACTTGCCTCAGTTGAACATGCACAAACAGCACTGCAGGTCATATATAACAATACAGAATACTAATATTCAGGAAACTGGTAAAGAAATGCAGCTATTTTGCAGCTTTATGGAATTGAATGCCCCCAAACTAAAACAAAAATCAAACCATTTCCAAGTTCAAAGACTTACTGGTCTGCCTTCAGAAACTGGGATTAACTAATAAATGTAATCTGTGGTAGTGATTTCTGTCACACTGGCCTTCATCTTTTTAGTAAAGGCAGTAGATTTTGATCTATGTTCCAGGGGTGAAAAATTTCCCTACCCTGCTCTTAAGTACTCTGGTATAGTTAAATAAAAACCTATTTGTGCTTTCTGCTAAGGCACAAAATCTCTCACCCAGCCCCCTCCAATTACCATGACACTAAAAGAAAATCCTTCCTGGTAACAGGCTGTACAATGTACAAAAATATACAAAAAACTGTATGGGAAGCTTGTAAAATGGATTTCATTCATAAAAACACCACGCTTCTGGCGAGATGACTGGCTTGAAATCCCAGTGAGAGAAATTATCATTTTTAGTTTTTGGGATGCCCTGATGCTACTTACACTTTTAAAAACCTAATAGATTCACATGTTGAAATGTATTGAAATTTTAAAGCTTGTAAATAAAATTAGCAATGTGCTGTGCCTGTCAATATGAACCATTAAAGTCCCTAGAGTGTATGAGAGTGGGAGAGTTTAAAAATTAATTCAGATTGTGCACCTGTTTGCAGGAATCCGTCTGTTGAATTAGCATTGCATTTAATAAGTTTCTGTGACGCAACTAATGTCCTTTTGTCTAGGCTCCCTCAGTACACTGTTAATTCTCACTCATCTGAAATTCAGGCAATATTATAAATTCCAAACTGATAATTAAAGTCTATAAATGTGAACCAATCTGAATGACACTGGCTTTACCCATTGAAGTTATTTTTAAACTTCTCAAATTTCTTTAATATCTCATCATCAATTCCTTTCAAGTTGAGTCGAAATGATTACATGATCTCAAAATGATCTGTTAATAGATTATGTATCTAAATAACACTGAGAAAAATTAAATTTTTAACAAAAACTAATAGATAACAAGGTATATTACCCACTGAAAAGAAATAAAAACAGATAATCAGTTGTACGTAAAAAGCATATTAAAATTACATTCTAAAAATTTCACTATTTTTAACCATTTTTCCTGCACATCGAGTTAAACCTATTGTTTGCAAACAACTCAATGAGCTACAGCAAAAGCCATTAGGAAGTGCTTCTTAATCGACTTCCACACATCTATTCATAGACCTTCAGTTGAGAACTACTGATCTTTAGTATTTACAGAGCATTCATCATTGCAGATAGCTGTGTGAAAATTACAAACAGTGAGCGGAGTTCGACTGTGCTGCAAGAAGAGATGATGTTCACACAACTCAACAAAAAACCTCCCTTTTCCCACGTAAACTGCAGACTCCATAGCTCACAGAGATCTCCTTATTTAAATGGATGAGAAGCCTTTCGGACAACATTTAGAAAAACAAAAAAAAGCACCAAACTTTTTTTAGGGTTTTTTGTAGGACCTTATTCATTGGCACAGTATGTAGAGAGAGAACTTTCAGGTTCTACATCAAGAAATAGAAGGAATTATTTTCTTGAATTGGGACAATGGAGAGCAAGAGACCACTTGGATACCCAAGTTAGCCCCAAGCTGTTGTAGGCAATCCTGACAAACAGATCTATTTACATATTTTTTCCAGCTATACCTTAAAATTATAACTCTTGCTAATACAAGCTTTAGAAATGTCTGATTGTTCTGTAATTGTTGTGGAGCTGGTTTGTTTGTTTGTTTGTTTAATTACATCCTTCACTCTTATCTCCCAATCAATTAGCAACAGCAATACATGTTCTAACCTTTTGGAGAGCGGTAGGAAGGACCAGAGTCTAGCATTCTATAAACAGAAATGAAGTTTTCCAATTTCAGTGTAGTCTAAATCTAGATTCACTGGGAATCTGGTTATCAGCTGGACCTTAACACAAAACTTTGGAGTTCTAGAAAATCTGAAGCCAATGTAATCTGTAACATGTGAAAGAAATATGGTCTATACATGAATTCTCAGGTACTGACACCAGCAGAGAAAGGGACATAAATACCCAGCCTCATTGGATAGATTTTTTGCTTTTTTTCTGGCTCTTATACTAGGCAAAAAAATTGATCCTGTTCTGGATAGATAATCATGCTTGCATAGACTCTGCAAAATCTAAAATGCAAGATTTTATTATTCTAATTAATATTTTATTTTTTAAAGGACTTGACATTTAACTAATAAGTCACAGATTTTACTCTGGTAAAGTCCTGAATTAGTCAGGGTTCTTTTTTTTTGTGCTATGCCACTAAGAGGATCCTGTAGCTGTGCTCTCTGACACTTCAGCTCTGGCTTACCTCAATAACTTCATGGATACCATTTTGCATAAGAATATATATTGATGACAGATGATAAATTAACTAAAATATATTACAGTTACCAGAAATTTTCTTAGGATATAATCAGTTTAAAAACTAGTAGGATCCACCATTGTGCTTCTTTACTGGAGGAATCAAATTAAAATTGGAAGAAGTTCTACCCAAACAGGGATCAGTGTAACAGTCCCGTAATTATTTTAACTACTTGCATACTTCAAAAAAAAGCACACAAAACATACACATTTACTGTCTTGGCAGATATGTGCTGGATTCATTGTCTTTGGTATGTATACTGTATGATGTATACCTGATTCACATATGAAGCTGCTCTTCAAATATAGCAGAGAGTTTAAAGTGAGAACAAAAAATCCTTCTCATTGTCACAGAAAGTGACCATTAAATGATGACTCACGTGCAACTTATTAAACATGACGGGATCTTCAATCACTGTCTTTTATGCACTAATATTTTTATTTTCTTACTTCAAGCTAGTGCACAAAATTATTTCAGAAGTTACTGAGTTGCTTGTTTACAGCCTATAACACATTACATCTTTAGTGTAGCAATACAGTTGCTTCAATCTCAATAATGGTACACTGTTTTAATCAATTTTTCAAAAAGCATGAGATACATGCGACAAAACTAAATTATTAGTTCATGATGTTGATGACAATGACTACATTAAAAATGTAACTCTTTTTAAAAAATGTAACTCAAGTTTTAGAAAAGACTCATAGTGTTTTATCTCTTTGGTTTTTTAAGATTGATTGTTCCTCACATTCACTATAGTTACAGCAAAGGCTTACAACAGCAAGCACTATCTTCACATCTTTTAATTGTATCAGCTAAACTTTGGGCCTCAGTTGACTGGACATTTTGCTAAAATATCTTGACTTATACAAATCTAAATCTTTTAATTTCTTTGTTGGTCATTAAAAGTAAGTCCCTTAATCTTCCAGTTAAAGTAACACAGATTTTTATGAATACAATATATTTTTTTAGAAGTCTTCAGGATACTGATACAACATTTAACACTATTCTTTAGCAAATGTTAAATTTAGATAGCCATTTTAAAGGTCTATATTCAAAGGAGTCAGCCGTTTAGACTTATTTGTGACAAGACCCAGCAATTTTCATTTCTTGGTTAAAAAAAAATGCCAACATTACATATTGTAATGCTAATGAAGAGGATTTGTGTCTTACATTTTTCCTTGAAAATTTTCACTTGAGAACACAAAAATGAAGGTTCTTGATGTGAGCACAGCTCCTGCCTAACTACGTTTTGTTCAAGTTGTTTACAGTGAAGAGCAAGTAAGATGAAGTGTTTCAATAGTCGCTTCAGGCTGATCTAGTTTGCATTCGCAAGGTGAAGCTAGCTATGTATTGCTTTACTTTTTGCTTCCTGGTTCTTTAAGCAGATGGAAACGATCTGATTTCATTCATAACTGGAAACTGACAAAGTAGTTTCCCCCAAAATATTACAATGTAGAAATTTAAAACTAAGAGAGGTATATGATATATCTGATATTTGAAGGCTTATCAATAGCTGGGATAAAGAATTCCCTAGGCTGCTGTCATTCTGTGTTTCAACTTGGTTCGCAAAATGATAAATCACTTCATGTAAAATCTATTATCAAACTAATCGTCAAACTACAATATAGAAGGTAGGAGCTTAAAAAAAAAAAAAGACAGCTGACATCAGAGCAGAATAGGCAGGATTAGATCCTGCATGATTTCAAGTACAAATAGATCCCTCTGGGACTTTGGGGATTAATATTTTTTCTCCTCAGCCACTGTGAAGAATTAATGAGGGTACCTGCAACAATGCTTGCAAGCTGCTGAGTTCTGGTGATGGGGTATATGCTGCGTGCCTGAACGATGGCTGAAGCGATTTTCTTGGCGTGCCTCTCCTCCCCGTATGTTCTCAGGATGGACGCAAGCGCCTGTTGATCTAAAGCATTCACAACATCAGCAGCAGTGGGCATGTCAGGATACCTACGCACAAGAAGAGCCAATTAGTTCACTGACGTCAGTTTTCATTGACAAGAGGTGAAGCTTCATAGCATTGAGACATAAAGTCAAACACACACACTGCATACAAGTGCCTTTGAGGTTTTCAACTAAGAGACAGCAACCCTATGAAAACAGATATAGCTTGCACCTTTTAAATCTTTTTTCTTGCTACTTTAAATGGAGTTTGTTCCTTAACACCAGTTAGAACAGCTGAAACTTCCAAATATTATCATAAACTATGCTTAATGAGTTGACAAGAATAAACACATTTCAGTATCATGTTAAAATGTAAATGTTGTGTAACTTTTTATTTAGTCAGCTTTAGAATATAAACTTATGGGTTCATTTTAGTCAGCTTGCATTATACGTTGTTTTCTAGTCAGAACTGATTTCAAGGATTTTTTTTTCACATCCTCTGCTATGAAAACAATTGTTCATGAAAATAATTTAACTTTAGTTTTCACTTAAAAGGCATAAGAATATATATCCAAATACTATTTTGAGAGAACAGACATGACCTAGTATTACAAACGACAGGAATTATTACAATATAAACAGTATAAGCCATACTTTTTTTTTTAATCTGTGACAATTTCCTATTGAAATAGTTCAAGGTATTTTATGAACATCATATATGGGTTTACTAATCGGAGAAAACATACAACCTACTTAACAAATTCTCTTCTACAAAGACATGAATGTGCAGAATATTTTTCAGGCATTTCTTACTCTCCTGCAGTATCTTACAAAAGATAACAAAACTTAGAAATCAGAGGCAAGTAGTATCATAGCAACAACCGTAGTGTAAGGCTTTTGTTATGCCACAGGTATCCTTTGTTCTTACGCTCCTGATCCATGTATGTATTCTCATGATGCAAATATAAGCCTGGAGTTCAGATTCATGAAATCTGAGGGCTGAATTCCAGGAGGATCACATGAGCTTTTTAAACAAAACTGGAAAAAGCAAATATCATGAAACTTGCTGTGTTAAAACTTAACATTAACATTAATGTGTTAAGATAATTCCTTAGGAAGCCTCAGTTTCTATCGGCTCTATGTGAGCAATGAAAGATCAAATGGTATTTCTTAAGACTCCAGGTTCATCAAAACACAAAGCAAAAATTTTCATTCTCCCAGCAATGCATTATACAATTACTGCCATCATCTACACAACTGAGATCTTTGGTTGCTCAAGTAAAAAGCACAATGCTACAGAAATATATTAGGTTGTTTGAAGATGAAAACTGCTACATAAGTAAAAACTATTCCACCATTGATTTTCATGCTCCTGAATGTACTAAACACCAATTCTAATAATTTAAATAGAGGTGATTTATTTAGTAATTGTTAATTTGAAAATTAAGTAAGCCTGATGTGCCCCACACACAATGTGAAAGGAAGCTTATAATATTGCTAAGGAAACCTTACAATAAATCTATGGGCATGGAAGACAACATTATACTAGTGTGTTAAAAGCAATGTTGCTATCTGATTTCAATTGGGAGATATCATGGATGGGATTTTATTTATTATATACTACATTCCTATTAAAGAGAAGTAACTGGGTCAGATAGCCATTGCAGAAAAGAGGGAGGTTGCTCCTTTCCTGAGGGAACAAGTGAACGTGCTCAAGTGAAGGTTCCACAAATAGTAAGTGTAGCAGAAAAGGAAAGGGACTGCAGTGAGGGGTTGTGAGCCTGCAGATCAAGTGCAGTCTGAGAAACTGCAGAAATAACAGGGAGAAGACAGGCCTCTGAAAGTGAGGTGCCCCTGTGACTGTATACCATACACTCTAAGAATGTAAAATTTCAATGCTATAGTTAACAAAAATTTTACTGGTTTAATTACTTATCACTGGAATTTTCCTCTTATTTGAAAGAAAAGACAATAACCAGGGTTCTAAGTACTGAGATCAAAAAAAGCTTTGTGGCAAAAGACAGACAGTATACTCGTCCAAAATTAGATGTGGTTTGATGATGAGAATTCTTCAGTTTAAGGGGAAATGAAATGCTCAGCGGTTGCTGAGCACACGGTGTTTGAGTTTCAAGGAGAAATATTTTATTAACAGGTACCTGTCATTATCCATCCTCATGTCCAAAGGTCCATCCTTCTTTAGCGAAAAACCTCTTTCAGGTGTATCAAATTGCATAGAAGAACAGCCAGCATCCAAGAGAACTCCATCTAGAGTCCCTGGCTCCACTCCAGAGGAGATTAACAAAGCCTCTGACTGGCTAAACTGTCCTAGAAGAGCTTGAATCTGTTTCCTGTAAGAAAATAACAAATAAATAGCCTGACTTTAATTGTAACAGTGCAGTGTTCTCCTTGTATAGCAGGAATTAGACAGTAGCACTCACTTGTCTCAGAAGCAATAGGGCTATTCCCAAAGTAATAGTTCAAGTACTTTTCATATGTCAACATTGAAAACTGGTCCAACTCACCCATCAGTAGCTACTTCAGCTTCTTTAACTCTTTACTCCCTTCCTGCTTGATCTCAAAGAAATGGAAACCTGAGTAAAATTTCATTTTTCCAACACGCAGGAACTCAAAGGGATACCTTTCACATTCAGCAGGAATGCCCTGACCTCCAAGGTACCTGCTGTGCTAAGCAGGGCCCTTGGTCAAGTGAGGCCAAAGTGCGGAAAAAACTGAATGGTTCTTCGACCTAGAGGAGAAGCAGACAAGATGGAACACGACTGCATGGCCTTGCAGTTAATACTTACCTGCCAGGAAAAAAATCCTGGGTTCCTGCCATACCACTTCTTTTTAGTGGTATTTGCTGTTTCAAAAATAATTGGGCAACTGAGGTGCACTGGATCACAAGCAGACAAAATACTTCAGTGTAGTTTTGATTCAGGCACCTAATCACTGGGGAGAGTAGAGTTTTACATGCATTTTTGTGTTTAGCGTCCTTCTTAGGTTTAAGGTGGTTCTTCCTTAATATTCCCATACTGGGAAGGGAAAGTTGCACGGCAAGGGAGAAGATGACACAGCTCTGAGGTGCCTAATGCTTTCTTAGGTGTCTAAACCTGGACTTCTGATTGTTGCTTATATATAAAGTGACTTACAATTAAATAATTTATCTGTCTCTCAAAATCTCAATGAATTTCACAGATTTAAAAAAATTAACCAATGTGTTGCTGCATTTTTAAGCAGTGTCTGCAAAACAATGTATTTCTGCCCCTTAAAAGAAGCCACTGCCTCCACATCTGAATTTTGATTACAGTTTGGATAACTGTTCTTCAGCCCCATTGATTAGCATTCAAATTATTACAAGGTCCCCTAGGTTAACTCATATAATTTTTTCTAAGTTACATGGGCAAGTAGTGAATGGATAGAGCGAGCAACTCTTTTAATTGTTTCAGCTACAAAAGGACAGCTGCCCAGATATCTTTTGACACTTCAGCATTATAGTAATTTTGAAACGAAAACTTCTTCAAAATATCAGCTTACATCTAATCCTTCTTTCAGGTCAGTTTAACATCAAGACAACTGGCACTATGACACAATTTAGTCAACTCCAATGGCTACAGTTTTAAAATAGTGTACGAACAGGGAATCGGAAACTTCTTTGCACCCATCCAACTGGAGTGAGAAAATGCTACCAAGATTTAAAAAAAAAAAAAAAAAAAGAAAAAAAAAGAAGGAGAGAGAGAAAGAAAAAGCTCCATTAAAAGGAAGACATTATGGGCGCAACCATATGGAAGAGCTTTTAGCTACACAATGGTATCCTCATTAGAGCAGAATGAATCAGCCTATTTAACATAGCACAAAACCAGGGAAATACCTTGAATGAACAGACTTCATGAGGGATAATGTGATCACACATAGGTATTTTTGAATTGATTACCGTCCAGCACATAATTAAATACAACTATTCAGCTTAATCAGAACTGACAGTTCCTGAAAAGCACAATGATCCACTTAACATATTTAAACCAACTTAAGCTATGTAGTTATAGCTTTGAGATTGTATTTCCCCTCAATATGAGGGGAAATTTCCTGAAAATCTGTACCACTTTGTCCCAACTGGGCAGTATTTCTAACTTTACAACTTCTACAAATGAATTAACTTTAAAATTCTGTATGTGAGAGATGGAAATAAATGAGATCTGGAAAAAATTATAAATTGCCATTGTCTAGTTCTCTCAGCAGACAGTAATCCATGTCAGCAGCTATGAACCAGTGCTGAACTGTGTTACCAACCAATCTGAAAAATTATTCTGAACTATATTTATAACATGCTAGACATTTTATTAAGTTTCTTTAAACAAGTCATAAGTATGCAGATGGTAAGATATTTGGGACAGTGGCCTTTGACTCGTGGTCTGTCAACCCTCTGTGATTAGGAAAAGGTAATTAAAAAAGAAATATATTTGAAGTAAGTTGAAATTTACTCTTTGATAGAGAGATGCTTCAGTTGGAAAAATGTTTTGGAGTTTGCAAATAAAAGAAGATTGAAAAAGAATTAGATCAACATCTTGATGTCAGTCTTTCAGCTGAGTGAAATTATAGCTTCTGTATATAACATGTTGGTTATACGTGGCATTCTGTGTATCAATAGAGGATATAGGTGTCTTCATCAATATAAATCTTTACTGAAAACAGATGCTTTTCATGAGATTATAATGACTATATTAAAATGTTCAGGCCAGTTCCCTGAATTCCTGTTTCTTTCTGGACTAGAAGAAACAATTTTGAGCATCTTGGGTATCTCATACATTTCAATTAATCAAACCAAGTCCACAGATATGAAAGATTTATTACGTTATGAAAGGAAATACAAATATCAACTCATTTTTTCAATAGAATAGTAACAATGATGATAGTGATGACAAGGACTAATCTATTAGATTATGAGCATGACACATTTAAAGAAAAATATTTTACCAAGCATTCAGAAGCATTTATTAGAATATAATAAAACTCTTCCTTTATCTACTATTATTTATGCATATGTTCAAATAATAACTGCCTGTTACACGTATGATTTTCTCTAAAAATGCTTAATTTAGCCTGAATTCCTTTTGCCTTCAGATTTTTGTTTACATCATCTGTAAATCCTGTTTCCAGAATAACATCAAAAAAATAATAAAAACCTGTGTGCCCTATGCTAAAAATGATTATTTCCTACAGCCATATGCTTTCTGCTCTCCCCAGGTATGTAGAATTTCTTTTTGCTTTCTTTTTCAGTGTTCCAACATTTTCTTTGGGCATTAGAGGATTTATGTTCCATGACCATACTTACCTAGTGTGAAAATCTGTCTATTACCCTTTCTGTCCTAATATATTGCAAAAACAGTGCTTAGTGGAAAAAGCAGGAAAGGTCAACCAGGGAACATCCCTAAATACCAAATAAAACACCGAAGCTTACAGTTAAAAAAAGCCTGAGAAGAGACAGCATATCAAAACATTATATTGAATGCGGGTTCTAGGAGGGTCTTGGGGATATCATCAAAAGCTGTTAAGACTACAAAGGGTCACATATAGAGCATTTTAATCAGTTTAGGTGATCTCTGAAGGTTACAATCTCACTAAATCCAATTGTCTTGCTTAAGAGAAAATATTTAAACTTAGTACTTGAACAGCACTTTACATATTCAGAATATTTTAGAAACATAAAAAAAGCTGTGAAGAGATTTTAGCCCCTCTCATAAATGGGGAAGTAAGATTTGCAGGGTTTAATACTAAACCACTGGAAGATACCTATGTAGAAAGCTAAGACAATTTCAGAGATTATGGACTGAGGATGTAAAAAAGCAGATAATACCCGTCATATGTTCAGCTCTCATTTGGCTTGTGTCTGTGTGCGTGGTAATAGCATGGTAATTTTTGATAAATTCCCAACTGCTACTGTCAAACAACCTCTAACTTCTCAAATTATTCATCATGCTCACTCCCTCTATTAATTTTGACATTCTCCAAGAAAAAAGTATTAAAGATTTTAAAAGAACACTGGGAACACAGACAATCTAGCCAATTTTAAAAATAAGAAGTTTCTTCAGCTACTACATATGTTGTTGGGGCCTTAATAGATTTTATTGCACAACCACCTCAAGAGCTTGCAGAATTCTTGTACTGTTTGCTACAGCTGAAAAATAACAGGGAACCTTGGGTTCAGGATCCTTTGTTCAGGTCGTAACACAGTATTTTATTATATTATACTATGACACATAGCATAGTAATTCTGATAGATGGCATTGGATCCACACCTCTCAATTATATGAAAGCGCAGAATGAGAAAGAGTTTGAAATCTCCTAATGTATTTCAGGCTCTTCTGCTTTCAGTTAACCTCCAGTAGTCTACAACACTTTATAAAAATATTTTATTTTACTCAGCTGAGAGGGATGTGCACAGGAAAATAAAGCTTCTGCAAAATAAACAGAGAAGAATCTTTTCCCTTATCTCTCCGTTTCTCTCTGTTGTCACAGAGGTTGCTGTGACATCAATCATTCAAGTAATTTCACAGAAAAGTACGATTATGCTTCCATGGTGCTTCAGCATTTTTTATGTGTATGTAACAATACTTGCTCCTGATCTTTCACTGTTGCTCCCCTTACAAATTCTATGTATGAATACACAGAAAGTTGGGAAGTGATGATCCCTTGTCAACAGTGAAAACTACCTTCTACTCAACCAGAATAAATGGTTTCTTTGAGAGAACTGGAAAAAAAAAGTTTTTCAGCCAACTCTTGCCAATGCACATCAAATGAGGAGACCAATCTGGTGCTTTGTTTGATTCAGTAACTCCACTGAGACAGCCAACAGGGATGCCAATTAGCACCAGCTGTAATGGGATATTGGTACAGACCTGGTTTGATGTCATTGACTCACTTCACCTAGGTCACTCAGCAGCTGTCAGATAGCTGTGACTTTTACTCATGGCAACACTGCGCCAGGCATATCCAGAAGCAAACCACAAAGTTTCTGGAACTTTCAGCATCCTACCTGGAAATTATTGTGAGCATTACTCTGCCTCAGTGCAATGCCCCTCTCAAAAAACATACCCGAATATTCTGTAAAAAATTTTAAATTACTTTTGACAAATGGAAAATTGGCATGTTTTTCGTGTTTGCAAAGAAGTAAAATAAAAATAAAAATGATAACTTCTATCGATTTATAAACAAACCTGGCCATTACATTCCCAGATTTATAAAAAAAATTAATTACAGCTTTGGAAAAAGCCCATATACCTATTTGAGAACTAACAGTTCAGTCTAGGCTTCGTTTTGTGCTACAAAAATACAACCCCAAATCTCAGCCACT